CTCTTCCCCCTGATGATAAGCCTGAACTGATCACTCCGAGTTCAAAACCAGCTGGAATCAATCCCACTGTAGGGACCAAGGAGCTTATTTCGAAGCAGCCTAGTGCTGGAAACGTATCTCCTCGGTATCATCCTTATAACAGACCTGGTAAGGAGCCTATCCAGGACAATCTCGTGAAAGAAACTAGCTACAACAATAATCCTGACAAGGAGGCAGAAGGCGGTGAGGATTTCATGAAACAGCTTATCCAAAAGGATGCTCAACCTCAATATCATCCTTTTGAAAGGGTACTGCCAGAGTACAGTCAGGATGACTACCCTCTCCCACAGTGTACCATGGATCTGCTGGGCGAATGGATGCCAATAAGTGGGTTTGGCGACCATGGTCACCTGGAGGGAACATCCTCCGGGAGAACCCTATCCGATCCTATTTTAAGGATTCATCCAATGGAAGCTGGGGAAGCTGCTGGTCTTGAGATTGGTTCCAAGACAGGCCCTGCGCATTTGGACTTAGAGTTAAAGCTAGGGTTTTGAGCTAATGATGCTTTTGATTATACCTCTGTGGTTGTCAGCGTGTAAAGTTGGGTCTAGTTGAATTCCCTTTTATGTCGGATAAATGTGGTCTGCTTAGCCCCCAAACTTAGCCCTATTGTGTTGTTCAGACAGAATCTGCCAATCTGTACAAGGTCGGCTGGTGCTGATGGTAAGTCTAGGGTTTTGCTGTTTCTTTGGGCTGTTTTTGGCTGTAGTAGTATATCAAATCAAATGAATCAAAGAATGTTTTCTGATATAATCATATACAAAAACTCATTTTTTTTTTCCCAGAAATCTTGAATATCTTCTTCTTCTGCTAAAAATTGCTGTAACCAATGAGACAGTGGAGTAAGCATCAAGATTTCTTCTCAAACATGTGATATATACCCAATGAAGGTGTCCAGGTTTTCTTTTTTGGAGGTTTTCAAGGTTAGTTTAAAAACAAGAACAGTTCAAGGTATTTTGGCCTCCTTAAGTTCCTATGTTTACTATAATTAGTCTGTATTCAATGAATATCTGCATATTTCATTTTAATTAGAAGCTTACCATCCTACTTAAGAGCTCTCTTTCAGAAAAAAGGGATTTATTCATGTTTTATTCCTTATTATTACCAGCTAAATGGTAACTCATATCACAAACTTTTCTCCTCACACTGATTATGACATACTGCCGATGTTCTTCTGATTTGTTACGTATTAATTTCCTTAGATTTATTAGTTTACATTGATTAAATATAATCAAGTCCCCTTGTTGAAGATCAAAGAGCAATATTTGTGCTTTGGGACTTAAACAAACCGGAAGTTTGAAATTCAAAAAGAAGAAACCTTTGAAGTTCGTAACCGTGTGCAACAATCAATGTGTGATATAATGATAGGCATTGCATGATTTACAATTTAACATAACATAATGATCCAAATATGTACAATCTGTATCTGCAAATTGTACATATAATATTTTTCATTGTTATTATATGGTGGATGTTGTGACGATTATACAGAGAACCTATAGTAGTTATTCAGTTCCTTGCCGATACCATTATTTCAATTATATATATAGCACATGTTTAATAAATTCATTAAAATTTAATTATATATCGTCAATTCAATGTTCTCCATACATAGTATTTATATGTTTATATTGAATATGAAAATTTTAATAAGAATTCTATAGAACGTACAAAATAGTTGCATAATTTCTTATAGAATACGACAAATTCAATTATAAGGAAATACGTGTAAATTAATGAATTCGTTAGAACTTATAAATGATCATAAATATATTGATAAAATTGAAAGTGAAAAGATAGATTCAAAATTACATATTGATTCATAACTTATTAATGATTTACAACAAATTTAAAGAAAATTAATGGTTTACGACAAATTCAAAAATGATTGAAGTATAAAAGATATGACGAGCAACTAATAATCATGTAAAAGCACACAAGTAAATGGTCGTATACAAATCAATGATTTTTTACATAACGTGACAAATTCAATTATAACGAAACATGCATACGTTGATAAACTCGACAGAATTTATAATTGATCATAAATATATTGTAAATTTAAAAGTGAAAAGGAAGAATTAAGATAACGTATTGATTCGAATCTCATCAATGATTTACGACAAATTCAAAGACAATTAATGATTTACGACAAATTCAAAAATGATTGAAGTATAAAAGATATGACGATTAACTAATAATTGCATAAAAGCATATATGTAGATGACTGTATATAAATCAATGATTTGTTTACAAAATACGACAAATTCAATTATAACGAAACACATGTAAGTTTATAAACTCGTTAGAATTTATCACAAATCATAACTATATTGATAAATTTAAAAGTGAAAAGGAATAATTAAGATTACATATTGATTTGTATCTCATCAATAATTTACAACAAATACAAATAAAATTAATAATTTACGACAAATTTAAAGATGATTGAAGCGTATATGATATAATGATCTATTAATAATCACATAAAAGCCCATACATAGATGATCTATCATTGTTTACAACAAATCAATGATTGTAAAACTCGATGATTGTATCATCTGTTACAACAAATCAATGATTTATTGAAGTATCAGTAACCGTTTAAATGAAATGGCGAGGACTACTCTAAGCTAATTTAGTAAGCACACTTTTGATAAAGGATTATACCTTATTATAGAATGCCCATGACAAATTCAAAGCTTGATATTCATCAAAATTATTTCAATGAGTAGCTAGATTAACTTTATAAATGTGTTGAAGTTTGATGAACATTTTGAAATACATGCCATAATTCTTTTATAATCATCAAACATGTATAAGTAGAGGAAGCAGTATATTTGCCATTAAAAAAAAAAGAAAGAAAGAGGAAGAAATATATTTGCAGCTTACTCCACATCAATGGATGCCCTGAAGAATCCATGGCTGCATGGAGAATAAAAAGTTAAGGGGAGGAAAAGAAAAGATATAATCCATAATCCATTGCAGCCATATTTACAAACATAGGCTTCAGGAAACAGGTGATTTACTCATTTTTTCTTACCTTTATTTTTATTTTTTTTTCCTTTTGGCCCATCTATATGCATAGAAATCCGTACTCAGAAAGTTGGTAATGGGACGAGCGTTTTCCATTTACATGAGAGCATTTATGATGATATTTGGAGTCTGATAAGGTATTAATTAGAAAATCCAAAGGGGATTGACATAGCTTAAATTTTTAGGCTTCTTTTTGTCAGTCGGTCCAATGGGATTCATAGTTTTATTTTTCAACTACAGAACCGGACATTGGAAAGTAAGATAAATACCCTTCCATGTCTGAGGGCTGGCTTAAACTCCTCTCATTTCACAGGACAGAGAAGGGGATTCCTTTCCATATTTGCTTGACAAAGAGACGTGGTCTTAATGGATCAATTAATGCATCCTTAGCCGGTTTTTATATGGTGACTATACTGCTAATAAGACCGTGGAATTACATGCACTAACTTGGAAACTTGTGGGGGTGTGGCCCTAATTGCCATATCTACTCTTATCTGTCTACTACTTAAGGCTAAACCATTTTCATAAAATCTTAATTTTTTATGTTCCTTTCGAAGACCATGAAAGATAAATGTCTATGAAATGATAATTATATATATTTTAAAAAATTAATAATAATAATAATAATTAAATATTTGATTTAGTGATCAGTGAACGATTTTCTTATTAAAAAAGTAAAATTCGAATATGTTTAAATAGATTTTATTAAAATTTTATTAAAAAAACATTTTAATAAAATTTAAATTTTATATATACCTTCCTGGTAAATAACATTTCTTTTTTTTTTTAACCCTAAACTCTTACCATATATATATGTTATCAATAAGGTACACCAAAAATCCTCAATAAATAGCCTCTCCTGCTTTGCTTACCTAGTCCAACCCCACCTCTGACCTCTCTCTAGATGTTCTTTCTTTTGAGTCAAAATCGTCAACATGCAAGCCAAGGCAAACTGTCGTGAGAGCTCAACCGCTCCATCAAAGCCTAGGGTGAGCCTGGGGCTGGAGGCAGTGGTGAAATCCATGTGGTCATGTCCTTCCATGTTCTCCGAGGCCACATCCCATTCCCATTCCTCGGATGCCCTAGGAGGAGACCAATATCAAGCTGCATTAACTGCAAGGGACGAAGCCTTGGCAGGGATAATTGCTCTCAAGGAACTACTGGGAAAGGGAAACTCAAGGCCGATACCAGGGATAGTTATCGAGCCTTTCAATATAAAGGTTATACCACCCTGCAAAGATTGCCAATTCATTGACTGTAATTGGGATGACCTGATAGGTCAAGCAGGCTCTGACAGTACTGATCATGTGTCCGGGCCAGCTTATGAAGGTAAAAAAGCCGAAGACTCCGACAGCTCGGTGCCATTGACTAAGAATTTTCCAGGATATGGAGTCATAGATCGCTGTGGGGGTTGCTTTGGGTACTCGAATTATCATTTTGAGCCTCCCTGCTATGAGGAGCTGATGCCATTGGAGCTGAACCATCTGTTTAAACAGACAAGCACGACCCATGGTAGTGAGAACAAGGCTGCAGACGGTGCTCTTTCAGAAAAGATGAACTCAAATCTGAAGCTCTAAACGGAAAGCCATTAGGACTATGGAACTTTAAATTAGGAAAAAATAAAGATATAATAAAGATATCTGTGTAGCTATCTCTAGGGATGCGATCTGCTCCTTTTTCTTGCTTGGTCCTGGCTGTTGTTTTATCCTCTTTGTTTTCTCTGTATGCAGAGATGCATAATGCATTAATCCTAAGTCGTCGTTGTGGAATCTAAAATCCAGTGCTGTTTCCCTTTGATGTATATTCCTCCATTTTAGAGATTAGATTAATCAATGTACCGTAAGAACAAATCAACAAATCCAAATCAAGACGGAATTAAGTAAATAAGTAGTAGAAGTCGATTGACACATCTTACATTTGATTCGTAAAAGTCAAATTCGTCTATCTATGATCAGAGTCAATAAGAAATTCTACAATTAGTCATTCTAGTTTAATTCTTTCCAAATTCTCAAACCCATATACAATTTGCTCAGCTGCAGTTACTATGTATTTCACTCCTTCAATGGTAATACAGCATAGAAATATTTCCTTTTACATCGAACTAACTCAATCGAGAAGAAAAGGATGCAAGCCTTGATGCGTCAATACCATAAAGGCCTTTGTGAAATGTGATCCATGGTTAGCTTGCTTTTTCCATATTATCCGCCAAACTGAATTTACCAACTTGGACTGTCCACGTATTTCTTTGGATACTAAAACTATAGCTTAGCACTTCAGTTTCTGTCTGCTGTTCAGAAGAAGAAGCAAAAAGGGCAACTGAAAAAGGGATCTGTCCAGCTAAAGGGATGGGGGAAAGAGATCTAAGAACCTCTTCCATTCCAGCAAAACTGACAAAAAACAAAACTACAACTTTCAACACTAATGCACATGTGAAGCTTTTCATATACAATACCCCAATGGATAAAAAGTGAGGAAGGGGGCAGAAGGAAAGAGCCCAATGGATACAACAAATTTGAAGAATCAATCAAAAGAAAAACTCACATGGAATACACAATGGCCCCCATCTGCAATGCACAACAACATTCTCTAAACACTACTCTCCCAATCCAACACTAACCGAAGCCGAATTATCATTACTGGATAATTGAGCCACTGAACCATCATTCCTGGTTCACTTCAAATTCACCTTGCTGTTTCTCTTATGTTGATTCTGAACCGACAGTATCCACTCCATTGGATTTTTTTAATTTGGCAACAAGAACCCACATGTTTGCAAGTTCATTTTCCAGATAAGCTTCTCTGTGCTTAGATTCTTCAACCTTTCTTTGAAGCTCCACCTCTCGATGATCCTTCTCTAGGAAAGCAGCTTCATATGAAAGCTCTCTCTCTTTACTCATAGCCAGTTCTCGCTTGAGATCGGAGGGTGATCCAACCTGGTCATTTCGTTTGGTCAGACTCTCTCTTCGGCCATTCCGTAGTGTACTTGTCCGACGTTGGCTGGGAGAGTTCTTTGCTGCTGTCAATTCAGCAGCTAGTCTCTCGTTATGATTCATTAGTTTAGCAACTTCTTCTGACAATGCCTTCAGCTCCACAGCAGCAGCTGAGGCTAGCCCTTTGGCATATGAACTCTCCTCAGCCAATTTCTGGTTCCGCAATTCTAGCTGTTCTTTTGACTCAGTTAGCTCCACAACTTTCTGCTTCAGTTCTTCAATCTCTGTCACCTGATCAAGCAAAATCAGGAATTTAACTCTAATGTTGACTTACATGAAAGTGAAATCATTAAAAAGTCAGTACATAATGAAAATTATGTTAAGCAAGCATACATACTAATATCACTGTAATGAATAAGTTGGGAAGAAAAACATAAAGGCCATGGTATGATATAAACTTCTATGTTTAAGATAACTAGCTTTACCTCAAGAGACATACATACAAGACATCTAATTTTATAATCATATTTAACTAGCTAATCCAGATACCAAAGCTCTATCTTCTAAGGACTTTTGTGCATTTTAAGTGCTGCGAGAAGAAAAAATGTTATAACGTCAAAAATATAAGTGGGTTGCTTTATTGCATGTATTACAAATTTAGAGACATAAGAAGTTATTGCCCTTTCCATGCTAGAGTTTTCTGTAAAAAGACTATGAATGATTATAAAGCACCAAATTGTCCACACAAATATAGAGGTGTAACATATAACCGAAGGAACTAAGAGATTGCCTCCAATTTTCATTTTGATTCCTCAAAAGATATAATCTAACAAATTAACATCTAGACATGTTGCAATCACTAAGGGGGAGTAGAGCATGGGGACAAAAGTAAATGGTATGCCATTGCATGACTTAGCCACTTAATTAAGGTACCATATGAGCAACGAAGGCATCAAGGATTTAAAAGCACCTGTCGTTTTATAAGCAAATCTTCACTCTTATCTTTTGATGCCACAGCTTCTTTGTCCACCTGCAGGCAACTGTTTTGTGATTCTAGCGCATCAGAGAGCTGCTGCTTTAAGGAGGCAACGGTTTCTTGCAGTCCTTCACATTCACAAATCTGATAAAAGAGGTTCAAGTCAGAGCTGGCTCTGAGACTGGATTGATACTTGTGAGGCATGAGCATGGGACAAATATATTTATACAGAAGTGGAGCAGGCATATCTACCTTCTGGGTGAGCTGCTCTTGGATTATCCGATTGTCTGCAGCTTTAACCTGGAAACAGAATTTATAACACAGTACATGAGAAAATCAGAAGAATCAAAGGGACAACAAGCAAAGGGCTGAGGAAAGTTTTATAGCATTCTTTGGTTCCTTTGACTGTGTCACTGCTGTTCAATTTTTGTAGACTCTTGTGCTATACTATGTAGGAGCTCATGGTAATGTACTGACTCCAAAAGTTTTCTTATTAGAACAACATCAGATAACTTGATTTAACTTGGGATGCTAAAATGCCTTTAGTCTATGTGCAAAGATTCATGGAAATACATTCTTAATTGAACATATACAGAAATTGGTTACCTCAAGTTCAAAGGACTTCTCATTTAATTGTGCCACCAATTCAGCAATAGACTGTAGCATTAAAAAAAAAGGAGTGTAAAAACGGAGCTACAGGAAGAAGCAAATGGCCTATGGAACCAATAAGACAAGCTGAACTTACTTGTGATATTTCTGATTTGTCCATCTTGTTGTGTGAAACCATGATGGAATCAGCAATTTGCTTTTCTAGCAAAGCAATTTGTTCACTCTTCCCTCTGATTTCATCACTCAACTTTTTCATCTCGACCTTAAATACAAAAAGGACAACAAAATTCAGTCTTTAGGAAGACCAAAGCAAATAACAAGGATGTTATGAAGCCAGTAGTTTACTTGAATCTGTTCATTCTGGGGATTTCTGGCAGCCTCCTCAGACAACCGCTTTAAAGCACTTGAATGGAGTGCTACCTCTCCAGACAAAATCTTCTGCTGCTCCCTTAATAGATCTATCTGATCAATTGTTTTTATGCTTGTCTGGAACAAACAAGGAATCAAAATCTACTTACTGAACTACGCATAATACAATCCTCAAAACAAAAATAAATTACATAATAAGGCCACAGAAAATTCTAAATTTAACTGTAGTTAGACAACATAACATTCCTTAACAGGGAGAGGATGCCATAACGCAATTGAAATGTTTACGAAGCCGAGCATGAAAGAAATGAGTTGAAAACTATTACACTTGGAGGGGTAATTATGAAAAAATAGAAAGAGAAATAAAAACATTTTCATACCAAAGGTGTCTCCTGCCCAATGTAATTGTCCTCTAGAACTTCTCTATCTTGTCTACCATCTGATAGAAGATCCATGGGTGGAGAACTTGCTGTGAGTAAAGATTGGGAAAGCCTAGATTCCGCATGGAAGTTATTGCTTCCTGCTTGAGGAGTAGAAGGTGTACTATTAGATTTAATTCCACTTGATTTATCGCTCGCACTCGTCAATGTCCCCACACCACTATCACGTTTCTGGACAAGAATTGTAAATAATATAAGCTACAAAGGAGGAAAAAGATGCATCTACTTCTATGCATGATTCACTAGAAAAATATTCATGTAACTGACACCAACTAGTTTGATATCAATGCTTGCATGAGCTTATTTAGTTGCACAAGCTATTTATCTAAAAGCCCTTTATATGAGCATCAATTATGAAATTAAAAGAAAAATGGCATCTAGACTAAGTTTTCTTCTTTTTTCTTTTCTTACACAGCAATATTAATACGTTATCAATTTCAAGTTTTTAGGATTCAGAGAAAAATATAATAGTTTACAATATTTTTAGCTACATATTATAGTACAGATTAGTCTCACAAACTCAACCCATAGAGAAGTGCAAAGCAATTAACTTTGCAAGGCAATAAATTAAATCTTAATGAGGAAAAAGAATATTAAAGCCAAAAAAATTTAGCTCAGCTGTTTTATAATTCTCATCTGTATATAATCAGAAATTCTAAGCTCTCACTTAATATTATTGACAACAACCATTGCAGTTTAGAGCAGATATCCCACAATGACAAGTGAGCAACCACTTATTGGCACTCCAGTTTTAATGAATCAAATGCCAACAGTTACCATTACAACAGTAAGCCACTTTCAGATTATTTGTTTTGGCATGCTGAGTTGCTAAAATGAATGTAAAGATCAGAAGGAGAAAGAAATCCCATTACTATCCTAGCTACTTTATCCAGACTAACCCCAAAGTTTATATTCTTGATTAAAACAATAAGCATTGACTTTAAAAAACAGAGTACTAAAGATCTACAACAAACGTACTCGGAGCTTAAGCCAGTTTAGCAAGCCATGCTTTCGAGTCTTTTTCTCCTCTTTAAGTGTATCATCTCCAGTTTCAGCATTCCCTTCAAGGGAAACATACAACTCAACATTGTCATCATCCACGATCAAGTCCCGCCTTCTATGTGGTAGGTATGCAAGCTGGGCAATATATAAAAGCAACTATAATTAGAGACAATCAGATTACACAAAGTTGATCTCTGAAGGCTGTAAAAACAACTCGAGTCATCCACCAAAACATGAAAATTAGTATACGAAGTAATTAAGATAAACCATGATACCTCTTCTTCTCCAAATGAATGTCTCCTCCTAAGACCAGGGCGTTGAGGAAATCTTGACGACTGTGAAGCTTTCGTGGAGACCAGAATCAATTTTGTCAATCGCTGTATTCTGCTCAATAAAGCCGCTTTCGCTTCTTCTTCTTGCTCCAACCTTGATTGCAGCTTGACTTGACCATCTTCTAGCTTTAAAGATCACAACAAAAGAATTGTCAAAGTCAAAATGTGATTCTTCTCTCTATTTCCCTCTGAGATAAAATTAGCAGCAATGATTCAAGAACTATTTACATCAACTCAATTAACCTGATACCAAGTGATTATTTCTTAAAAATATTACTTTCTTAAAAAGGTGATACAAGGGAAAAGAAAAAAGAAACATGTCAACTTGACACAAGGATGCCTTTAGGTTCACTGTTTATGCCAAGAACATGTCACGCACTGTAATGTTGAGGTGAAATCTAATCTAAATCAATCCAAGTTAACATACAGGATCCCATAAGATAGCATTATTGTGAATTTTTTCAGAGTTAATTATCTTAAATTTGTCTTTTCCATATGATTTCACAGCAGCATCCAATCCCAACTCATCATCTTGGAGTGCAGCATCAAAAGATTGAGAAGATGGAAAGGTCAGCAACAGAAAAAAAAGTGTTATTCCCCATATTGTGGAAGTTATTATTTTCTCTATCTACCACAAGCACCTAAAATTGGTATGCTTTTCTCCCCAAGTCTCTAATCTAAGGTCACCAAAAGATTCAAGAACTACAGCGGCCATGTTAACATGAATAGAATAACAACAAATTGACAATGAAGGAAGAAGTTCAAAATGTCTGGCATCAAGCAAAAGTTTTATCTTAATGATAGGAAAGCCTGCTGAAGATATTTTTCCAAACCATGTAGTGTAGAAAACCTTCTTTAATTTACTTTTGCCCACACCTGCTATTAACTTGCTGAGGAATCAGGTAATCTGTCAGTACTTTGTATATGGTAACCAGAAGCAAAGAAGTTTCCACAGCCTTTCCAGAAAATGCATAAAGAGTAGAGTCCCCCCACAACGGGTCAAAACTATTACTTTTTCTATACTCAGAACTGCTTAAAAAAATAAACATAAATTACCAAAATCAAAATGACCGATTATTGAGCAAAAGATTGCTCATAAAGAGAATCTCATACCATCCACATGCCTCAGTGATAATATGTTATGAAGGAAACTGGTCAACGGTTGCTAAGTCTTAGATAATATTTTGCTAGACAGAATCATTAACAGTATAGGAATGAGCAGGATAGACTGTATTGTTATTGACAAAATTTAACTCCACAACCCACATAACCCACAAAATAAAAGGATGCTACCACTTAAGCAAGGCACGACACTTCTTAAATATGTTAAAACGTTAAGCACAGAGTACCACAAGGAGTCAGCATTTTGAACTACTGCCTACCTCTCTATGAGCTCAAATCACATACTTACAAACACACAATGACATCATAGTCTACAATGGAACTTATGAAGTAGCAAATTTTCCCCATAGACTAGATTCACAATTAGATCAAACTACAATTAAACATTAACCTTCAGCAATTGTAGTCAATGCACAAGAAATGTACCTTCTGCTTTAAGAGTACAATATCATCTTCTCCAATATCTTTTAGTTGAGGAATTGTTACAATACCACGCTTCAATTGTTCCAACTCTTCCTTCAAACAGCGTATCTCATTTTGGTATTTTTTGATAAGTGATTTCTCATCAATAATCTACATTTTGACAAAGTAAATAATAAAAATTATAAAAAATAATATTCTAAATATATTAGTTGTATGTGTGTGCATGTACACACACACACACACATACGTATGTAAGTATGTAATAAATACACACACAGGATTGATAAAAATATGTGCATACCTTGTTCTGTGCTGCTTGGATTTCAATGTGTTTAGCACGGTGAGCAAATTTCAGTGTATTGTGCGTCTCTTCTGTGTTACTTGATGAAGGTGTGACAGTGCAAATGAGCTAAAATTTTGGACAGAAAAGAAAACAAATAAGAAGAAACCTTAAGCAAGTAGTGCTTATTCAGAGAGGAATATGGTGACACATTTACATATTTCTAATATCTTTTTGTTGACCCAGATATAACATGTTTTTCAACAAAGGTATCCAACAATGATGCTTACAGATACACGCCCGTGACCACTTAATGAGGACTGAAGCAGCCTCGTCAGCTTAGAATCCCTATATGGTATATGAGTGGCTCTCCCATCTGTCAATTTAGATATTACCTACAAATATCACAAGGTCAAATTCTAAGCCAAGTTTATCCCGTAAAAAAGACATTTGTAATAGCATTTACAAATATGCATCAGACCATAGGGAAATTACTATTGTTCATCAAAGATCAAGTAAACACCAAAATCACTGATTTAGAGAGAGAGAACATGTTATGAAACCACTAAATAAAGCAAAATGGTATGTCTATGTCATCAGATCCCAATAGCTGTCAATGCCAGCAGTTATAAGAACAGAGTATTATCATGTGCTCTAAAATATCTTCCGCAGTTAACTTACCAAAAAATGTTAAAGAAGACATCTCAGAGACACCCTTGTACATTAAAATAATCCAGAAATGCATAACAGTCAACAAAATTTAGCCCAGACATGTAGCATTTTCTCTTTGTATTTTATTTACAAGTTTATCTGCATCGTATACGATCAGAGAACAAAATGAAAAGTTCTTGATACATAGGCATGAATTCATCTGTGTATGAGGTTGAAAGTATATGGTTGTTACAGACTGGTCTTAACAATTTAAAAATCTGATATCTCAGCAAACATTTATTCAAAGAAGAAAATTAAGAACATTCAACACTTTATACTAGTTTCATTCAACACCCACTAATATATTAGGAAAAACCTTTTTGGCGTCTCCCTTTTAATGTTAACAATATTTTAGAGGGGAAAAGAAAAAGAAACCATGTTGAGAATATATAGGAAGTCACTTTAATGCTACTCTGCTGTAGTTACATATATACTCCCATAACTCTTGTTACAGTTAACATTGAATTTAAATCAAGTAACCAAAAGCATATCCATGCATTACAGCTCTCACACACACCAGAAATGGTGGACTATATATGATCAACTACTGATTGAGAGATTAAAGAGAAAGAACTTAATGCAAACCCAGAACAGTTCAATTTCCACTGTGACTCAAACAAAAATAGAAAATCAGGGCTCACAGTTCCTAGAGTTAGCAAGCTTTTGTTGATATAAGATCCTTCTTTTCGTCTAACACCAGTTGTTTCAGCCTTCGAGCTCTCAGAACCTGCCAGATCGATGAGGTTCTGCATGTATAAGTAAAATATGGAAAAGTTAAAATGTTTTCATCAACAGTGTAATACATAGACATTAATACCGTTAGCTCCTGCCCAAATGAGAGAAGAGGGTAAACATATATAAATAAAGTAATAAATAAAAATTGGACAAAATAGGAAACATAAAGAAGTAACCAAAATGTAATTGATATTGGCCCCAGGATCAAGGCTGTAGAATTTACCAGCTGTGACAGATTTACTGCTTCGCCTTCACTATTTTCACCACATGGGCTGCTCTCTATCGTCTATAGACAAGGTGGTCAGAGGAAATAATCAGCTGTGGCAGTGAATATGTGAACATGTAATGACCATCAATTAATCAAATACACCATCCGGAATCGGAACTACAGCAAGCATTATTAACATATTTGACATGTAACTGCAATGAATCAACACTTCAAAACAGGGAAACAACTTTATTTCTTGCAAATACTTAGATAAACAGATTGCAGTGGTTACCACTTAAAATAGCAATAGCATCAGCAAACATCTTTTCACGTGAAGTGGTAAAACCAAAACAGGGGGAGAAGACAAGGAACTTTTACAAGATGCTGAGTAAATATTTAGTATACCAGTGTAAATATTGTATGGCTCCTGCTGCTGAGTAAATTGAAGTTAGTTGATCCAACATGTCTGTGTTCTGTTTTCAAAGAATTAAATCCAATCAAATAGTATTGAAAAAATTCAATTACTGCTAGCAGAAGGAAAAGGACATAGGCCCAAATAACAAACATTGACAAAGCGTGCAATGAAGAGGACAGCCCCATACAAATACACATCTACATCAAAAATTTCATGCGCATGAGCTCCCTCTTTTTTGAGTCTGTAAACAACATAGTCATTTTATCCAATTTCAAAATAGATAGCTAATATTAGTTTAGGTAACATAAATGATCAGAAGTTTGGGCCCACAGAAGCTCTCTACACAATCTTCCAGTTCTAATTTGGACAACTACTCCCTGGATATCGCAAAACATGCCAGCATGATTTACCTTCTCCAGCTGCTATAAGAGAGAGGGCATGAGCAGGGGATAGTACAACTTCTTCCTTTATTCCTTCAACAAAGGTTCCCTACAGCCATTAACCAGCAATAAATAAATAACACACTTCCAAAATGTAACAAACACTAGCCATATCAATGATAACAACTAAACTGCATCACACTCTTAATAATCTAATCAGAAGAAGAATGATTATATTGTTGGAAAAATAGCAAACAAATATCAAAGAATTTAAAGACAAGGCAAACAGCATATTCCCTAGTGCACAAACCTGGCCACTACAAGGAACCACTAAGCATTTTTACAGATGTGTACTTGCCACATAATTGAGATGAACCCAGAGGGGCCGGCAGGGGCCCTGGCCCCCTCTTGGCTCATCAAAATTTTCCAAATACATGCATTCTCACTCAAAAAATGGTAAAACCTAATTTTTTTTTTTTCTACCAGCATTTTCCATTTTAAAGCTCACTGTTTTAAAAGGTTCATAACTTTTATTTGTTATTTCTTTAGAAAAAAAATCACTGTATTAGTTGGACTAATTTTATTCAATCCTTTATGTATCCCATAAATTTTTGTAATTGTGGAATGAAATTTATATTTTTTATGTAATTACATTATAATTAATTGAGATCAGTATTCTTTTTTTATTATTTTATTTCCAATTAAAGAAGTTGATCCTACTTTTATCTTGGCCCCCCAAAGAATAAATTCCTGGCTTCGCCCCTGCACATCATCATTCTAGAACTTATGATACTAAGCTGAAATTAAATAGTCATAAACTAAAGTTGGCCTCATTTGGATGATAAAACAGGACACACATGCCAAAAGCTCAACATCAATGTCCAATTAACATAATTTCCACATTTACCGAAGTTAATCTAAGGTACTATTGAAGCATTACCTAACCATAGAAGAAGAATAAAAAAGGCAATGGCAAATAGTAGACATCATTTTAAAAGTAGAAAGGTTATAAATGACAAGGATAACACATCAAACAAGGATCAGAACCGATAAACAAGTACCTGAGCATCTTCTCTAATTCTCAAATTTTGTCCTGCTGGATTTAATAAGTCGTTAACAACCTGAAATGATGAAAACCTTGAAGAAGAGTTACATTGTATGAAAGGAAAAAGCAGATTTGGAGCTAGTTCAATTTGTAGGGAAAAGAAGGGTTGTCAAGGTAGAGAGAAGAATAACAGGCTAATAGCTAAGGAAAAAAGGGAAGAAGCTCACCTCATTATAGATCTCCAGGTATGAAACACGAAGAAGAAACTCCCGGTTTGGTGTCTGCAGCATAATTGGCCCATTAGTATCCATGAAAAGTACAAGAAATAGAAATTAAACATGTCAAGATCCCGTATAAGTACCTCCTGAATAATACTAAAAGCATCCTTCACTGCAAGTGGTATAATTCCAGGGGACCTCTGATCACCCTACCATAACAGCAATTAAGATGAAATCAAGCATGCTACTTGTATTTTCAAATACAAACACATAATTTGTCTTTTCCGTACATGAAACACTAATTCCAGACCAAAGCACACCATGTATCACAATTTTGCATGTAGAAATTGCACAGTATTTGAGAAAAAATACATGCTTAAAGTCTCAAAGATTTTCCAGATATTCCATGAGAAAATACGAGCATTTGCCTATGAAGTTTTACATTTGCATACATACATACAAACATACATACATACATACATACATACATACATATATATATATTCATAGCCCCACATAAAATGTTTTCATTAATAGCTAGAATGAACCATGGAGGAAGAAGAGCAGGATATTACAGCTTCAAATAAAGAATTACTGCTGCTTCTAAGCATGTCAGAAAAGGAAGATACAAAATTTTAGATTTAACTTAAAAAGCACAGTAAACTTCAAAGCTTACTGCACTAACTTATAAGGTTAAATAACCAGTCCACAACCCCTTTTTGCTTTTATATCCAATAAAAAATAATTATTAATCCAATTCTCTACATCCTAGTATGAAAATCTTAACATTAATAATAAACCAATTCTTAACTAAGGTGTAACAGCAAAAGGAACTGACTATTTGGTCTCCATAACTCAAATGAAAAATTAACATCCCGTTGAATTGTAAATTTAGATGAAACTAAAATAGGTGAGACCATCGTGCAATCGACAACATACAAACAATGATAAGGAAAAGAAGTACGAATTATTTATTCTTACATGCATTGTATGAGTCTTCCCACTACTTGTCACACCATAAGCAAAAATGGTGCCTGTGAACAGAATTTAACACTGTAAGCTACAGGAACAAAAATGCTTTGAGAAATACAAATTAAATGCCAGAAGTTTCAATATCAATCCATCAACTTCTGATGCAAAACTGCAAGTACTTCTATTCAGTGAAGTCTAGGTGGCTTTTTGCCTGAAACGGTAGTTACCAAGGAAGTTTAGGATACCTTGGAAGCAAATCTATTGGCTCCAGAAATATCAAATTGAGTTTTGCTACGTTAAAATGGTCCTCCTACAGAGAGATTACAAGGTAGAGGGCTGAAATAGGACCAATTAAAAATTAGGTCTCAATCCAGTGCTGTGAATGGTCAAGATAAATTGCAGTCACTAAAAAATGACCATATGCAAAAGCATTCTGAAAACCTCTTATACTCTGGAAGCCCACTCAAATGATCTTATAAGCAAAATCACGAGATTCAACCTTGCCCTTAGTAGGAAGCCTTGGCAATATCTTCACATCTTGTTATAGATTCTGAAAGAGTGACCGAAACTGACATACAACCAAAACTATGCAGGTCACAAAGCCAGCAGTTTTGCCTGGTCACAGGCAAGCATTCATAATACCATCAGCCCATGGTGCATCAAACTAAACAAAACTATTAAGTCCCATAATTGCCTTAACATTGGTTCCATAGGTGGTCATGGAATAATCTCTGTCCTTATCAACTAGCTCATTAACTTTCTTTTGGCCACCATTGATAATTCAAAGGTAATGAATTCCTTTTTCTAGTAAGAGCCCCATTGAGAAAACAAGGACACTGTATTTCATCGGATGAGGATAGAATTCAAGCAAGCTGTGAATGATGTAAGAGCCACATTCACTAAGAAGAGGGATCTTCACAATTTACCATTGATGCCCTCCATGGCACCATTGACAACATGCTGAGCAGCAACATCATAGACATGGCGCGTAGTAGTTGTAGGGCCAAAAACTCGATCTAGAAGCATAAGAAATAACAGATCAATTAACTGAAATATAGAATGCTTAAAAAATTTTATACCGAAAAAGGAAAAAGGTCCACTTGATAATATATATATCTACTTTATGTCAATGAGCCAGATGCCTCAAATAAAAATGAGAGAAAAGGAAATTTTTCTTAAAATTTAGACAAATGAGCAAATATTTGTCAAACCTCCTATGGTATCATTGTGCTATTTCACACACATAGACAACACAAACCTTAATCTGAACTTAATGAAGCTTCTGTACACAATAAAAAATGACAAACCAGAAACAGAACATGCTCAACCTAAGAATGTTAAATTTACATGTAAATAGTCGAGGGAGAAATGTTCCACAAAAACATAAAACTTAGAATCCTCCAAAATAAAAACAATTTTAGGGGCATAAAACATCCTAAAAGGTAATACCGATGTTATGAAATGAGTTTTGAATATTTCCAGCTCTTTGCTACCTAAATTTCCCCAACAAATTTTTTTGTTCTACATTTTTCATTAGTCAGTGTCTGGTAAACATGACTCTGAGTAAAACCCAAGGGTTCCTTCCGTCAAGTGCATCAAATTACCTGACCATTGAAATTCTCTTTGAAAAAAAAAAACAGTTAGCTGACAAAATCTACAAAACTAACCATATGCGTATGCTATGGACGGATTATGTTCATTTCTCACAATAGTCTCCCCATCTGCATACCAAGCAATCTCCTCGCCTTGACGAATTTCCCTCGGACTACATCCACAAAAGCCAATACGAACGCCAATCAAATTTATAAGCCTTCATCAACCAATAAATGAAACAAAATACAGACAGAGAGCTAAAACAAAATAATGTACCTGAGAGGACGAAACCTAACCGTGACGGTGACATTCTCCTTGGATCGGTCGGCATCCAAATGCAAATTTTCAGAGTAAAAGTATTGTGGCTTGCTTCGAGCCGATGAAGATGCTGGTGAGCTCTGGCCATCGACAGATGTTTCTAGGAACTGTTTTGATGACGAAGTTGTTGAAGATGAAGGCGAATTTGCAGCTTTTAAGTTGCTTGAACCTAATTTCTTTGATTTCAGTCCTCTTTTCGACGACATTTTCACTTCAACAAAATATCACTCCCTTTTACACACTGGAAGAAGAAAACAAAAAACAAAAATCAATTAGACAAACAACTGGAAAATAGAAACCACAAAATTGGAGAAAAAAAAACAAAGTAGAAATTAGTTTCTGAAAATAGCTACACCGTAACAAAATTGTTTTTCAGAAATAGAAAGTCGAAGCAGTTCCAAAATTTTTGAGTTTCATCAAGTAATCAAATTGTTCTTTAAGAGCGAAGAAATATCTACTTTCCCAGTCAACATTGCAGGTAAATTCAGTTGACTTTTCACAATGCAAAAAGAACCAAAAAAAAGAAAGAGAAAAATGAAAATCACTTCCTTTCTACATCCTCAATTTTCTGACCAATCAAACACACACAAAACACAACCATTTCAAAAAAGAGAAAAAATGCATAAAACAGCTAAAAACTCTTTTTTATCTCAAAACTTCACCTCTTCAATCCAAAAGAAAAAAAAAAACACACCAAAATTTTTCTTTAGATTTTCTTTTGTTGACCTTCAGTTATACTTTAATGCATTTTAACAAAAGAAAGTTTACCTAGACAGTATCAGAAGAGCATTGTGGATAATACAAACAGAGAGTTCTAAGATCCTTTTCGAAGTGAGAGAGAGAAAAAAAATAGAATCTACAGATCTAACAGTTAGAAGAAAATATTGAGAGAGTAAGAAAGATTAAGAGTCTTTGTATATACGATAAAGGATTACAAGAAAAACATCATAATCACTCATCAGTTCGGGAGCAAAAGAAAGAGAAAGAGAACTGCTCTTTTTTTTCTCTCTCTTCTCTTTTTCTCCCTTTCTATTCTTTTCTCCCTAATTTTAGTAGGCAGAGTAGCTTTTTTGCTTGCCTTGGAAGCGATGCCCTTCATCAAAGCCTAAGGCAAACCGCATTTTTCAATCCTCCGACCTTTTTAGAGAGCAAATAAAAAATTAAAAAGAAAAACACAAATGGGTGGTGTAATTCTTGCATGATGATAGAATTTCTTTTTTCTTTTTTTTTTTATTTTAGCGCCAAAATGAGTAATGAGTGTACATGACACGATCACAGGAGTCGCGTGAGAAGGAGGTAAGTGACACTGGCGGCAGACAAGTGGTGGGACCCATTTTCGGTGGTACACGTGTCGGAATCTGCAATGTTTCATAAGCTTTTTCCCAATTGGCTGCTACGAAATAAGACAAACTTTTGCCAAAAAACCTAAAATGTTAGTACTGTTTTCTTTTTTTTTTATCCTATTTTGTCATATTTTGTAATAATAATGAAATACTTTGTTTTAGTTAGAGTTTAGAGGTCAAAATTCAAAAAACTAACTCATGTTTTGTTTGACATGAACCCTTTTCGAATATTTGATCACTCGTACTCCCAACTGCAGGTCCCACTCACAGTTCCTACAATGATTTAATTTTTTAGATAAAATATTTTTACTGCTCAAAATTATACGTAAAGATATTACTTTTTAATACAAATATTTTATTTAAAAAATTATTTTTATTAAATATATAAGTTTAATTATTATTATTTTTATTAATTTAATAATATAATAAAAATTAATTTTATTTTTAATTAATTTTTAAAATTATTATTATATAATTTTATTAATCTTTTATTTATTAGAAAAAGCTGTCAATTTGGAGAGCGTTGATTCTTTCTTGGAGTGTTGTGAAGCAACGATCGATGTTTCTTATTTTTTTTATAAAAATATAATAATATTTTTTAAATTAATAAAAAAATATTTTAATTTTTTTATAATTTTATTAATAATATTTACACTTTTAAAATGTAGTTATTTTAAAAATTAATAAACTTGTTTAAAATGTCAATTAAAACTTAGAAGGTGTAAGTATTTTATCTTAATTTTTTTGTTAGTATTAGAAAAAGATTTGAATCTAATATTTGATTAAAAGATCTATATACCTATTATTTAGTTAATAATTATAATTATTTCTTCTACTCAAATTAATAATTTTAACTTATAGCATGATTTAAATCCTTAGTCTTCACAAAAACTAGTTCAATTCTTTATTTTTCGAAGTAATAAGTTTTTATTTATTTGAAAACTGATTCATTAATAAACCAAAATATAGTTCAAATATCTAAATGCGTATTTTTAAACTTTAATTATTAAATCCAATATTTGACTATAATTTAAATATCAAATGTAATTAATTTAACTTTTTTTTGTAAAAGAGACTATCACCTTCACATATAGTTGTTCGATCTTGTAACTTTGCCATACGACACATAACAGTAGGGCCTAAATGGTTAAAATCATGAAGCTTCGGTGGCGGTGGCGGTGGCGGTGGCCATGCAAATTACCAAAAGAAGTACGATTGTAGAGATTGCAATAAAAGCAATTTGTTCCCTATTGCAATTTGGGAGAAAGAACATGTTGAAAAAATAATATCTAAGAATTTGGCAAGTGGCTTGTTAAGCGTATCATGCAACTCTTTTTAATGGCATAAATAAGTCCTCTAATTATAAAGAAATTTTTATTAAAGCCGTCACTCTGTCATTTGATGCAATTAAGTCCTTATATTATTAACTTTTTATGATTAAGTCCAATTTAAATGAAAAATGATGATGTCATTAACAGACCGTTGTAGCATCTATGCTTGCAATCCATGTGGACAAATCCAGCTGATACGACACTTAACACGTCCATGAAACTAGCTGACATGTCAATTCTCAAAAGTTAAGAAATTAAAAATCATCAATAATATTTAATTATGACAAACATAATGATACAAAATAAATTTAGCTAAATTCAATATAAAATAATAAAAAAATTTTAAACCAAAGCCCAACTTCGTGTTACTTTAATCTCCAAACTTCAAATCCACCTCGTTGTAACAACCAAAACTTGAATTGAAAATCAAAAGACACCCAGTATTTTGTTTTTTTTATTCTTTTTCACTTGCCCTTCCAATCATTATATCTTTTGAATTTTTGAGGTTTGAATTTGTTTGGTTCGTAAGAAAATGTGGGAAAGAGATGATTTTGAATAACTAAAAAGCTTAGAGGAAGAACCGATTTTGTCCTGAATTTTACTTTAATTTTTTAATTGGCTTTTTAATTGTATTAGTACAACAATTGGTGGGTCTGTTTTGGCTTTTATTAGTAATTAGTAATTTGTGATTTGGCTTATTTTTATGCATTTTTATTTAAAAATAAGTTTTTTTTATTTGTTTAGCATTTAAGCACGTGCTCCTTTGGACATGTTGGCATTAGAAATCGTTAGCACATGATAGTACATGAGTTTTGTTGTCCAAAATTGGGTTTTATTGTTTCAAAATGGTAGTATCAGGGTTTGATTGTCTTAAATGAATAATAAGGGTTTCAGTGAAAATTTTGTCTTTAATTTGAGAGCTTATTTTACCCATTATGCCTTTTATACACATGGACTAAACCGTTACAAATGAAAGGTACATAATCTATGAACCCTTTATCGTCATTTTCATTAGAATTAAAATTACCATGGTAAAAAAAAAAAAAGAAATGATGATAATTAGTGTGACTCAAAATGGTAACCCAAATTCTATTGCGGGTCCCATATCAGCAAGGGCCAAGTCAGGATTTTAGATTTGAGAAGATAAAAAATAATTTAATATTTGAAGAGATGAAATTATAAAATTTTTAAAAAATTAAGGGTAAAATTATAAATATTTAAAATAAAATAAGGAAAAATTTATAAATTTTTAAAACTTTGGAGGATGAGGGCTCCTTCTAAACCCTT